TTATTTTAACTGGTCTTGAGGCTTGAATCACCTGGGCACTGTCTCTGGGCTGCTTCTGCACAAGGCTTGTGCTCTACCATTTGAGCCACAGAGCCACACACACATGCACATGCACACACACACATGCACATATACAAACACAGATCCTAAGCAGGTCTTGCTGACTCTTGCCTATAATACTGGCTACTTTGGGGGTACAAATCAGGACTTGTGGCTTGAGGCCAGCCTAGGGAAGAGAAATATGTTCATGAGACTCTCAATCAATAAAAAGTTAGGTATGACGGTGTGCACCTATTATCCTAGCTATGTAGAAAACAAAAATAGAGGATCATGGTCTAGCCCTGCCTTAGTACAAATGAAAAATAAAGCAAAAAGGATGAGGGGTATGGCTCAAATGGCAGAGCAGTTGTCTGGATAGTGCAAGGCCCTGAGTTCAAACTGCAGTAACCTCTTCCACATCCCCCCAAAAAAACAAATATTAAAATTCACATGGCACCACAAAGGACCCTGAATTTTCAAAACAGTTCTGAGAAAGAAAAACAAACCTAGAGGCATTACTTTTTTTTTTTCTAGTCCTGAGGCTTGAACTCAGGGTCTGGGCTACCACTTAAGCCATAGGGCCACTTCCGACAAATTCCCCCACTATTTATGTGCTACTAAGGAATCGAACCCAGGGCTTCATGCACGCTAGACAAGCACTCTACCACTAAGCCACCTTCCCAGTCCAATGTATTTTTTAATTTTTACTTATTTATTTTGCCAGACTTGGGGCTTGAACTCAGGTCCTGGGTGCTGTTACTTGAGCCTCTTTGTGCTCAAGGTTAGCACCCTACCATTTGAGCCACAGTGCCACTTCCAAGGCCCTACAATTCATGATTTAAAAGCATACTACAAACCTATCATAAAAAAAAAATACTGGTATAAAAGCCAACTCATAAGTCTAAGGAACAGAATCAAAAGCCCAGAAGTACCAGCTACTAAGGAGGCTGAGATTGGGAGGATGACAGTTCAAAGCCAGTCTAGAGAGAAAAGTTGGAGATCTCCCCCAATTACAATCAGTGTAGTGGCACACACCTGTTACCTCACCTAAAGCAGGAAGTTCAAATAGGAAAAGTTTAGGTTGGGCAAAAAGTGAGACTATCTCAAAAATAATCAGAGAAAAAAAGGGCTGGAGGACTGGATTATGTGGTAAAATACCTGTCTAACACAAAATTCTCAGTTCAATCTCTACCTCCACCAAAAGAAAAAAACGCCATTATAAATGTACCAAAAGTATTAAAGTAAATTAAGCTTGGCGCAGGTGACTCACACCTGTAATCCTAATCATTCAGAAGGCTGAAATGTGAATTCCAATAGCAATTGGAAGCCAGGCCTAGCAGAGATATCCATGAGACTCATCTCTAATTAACCAGCAAAAGGACTAAAGTAGAAGTATGGCACAAGTGCTAGAGTGCCAGCCTTGAGCAAAAAACACAAGGGAGAAGAGGCTGGACGATGGTGGCTCACTGTAATCCTACCTACTCAGGAAGCTGAGATCTAAGGGTCATAGTTTAAAGGCAGCCTGGGCAGGAAACTCTGTGAAACTCATTGCCAATAAACTACTAAGAAAAAGCCAGAAGTGGCACTGTGGCTCAAGTAGCAAAGTATTAGCCTTGTGCAAAAAACCTAGCTTTCTAGCCCCTTAGTTCAAGCCCCAGGACCAATACATGCACATGCACGCACACACACACACACAGACACACACACACACACACACACACACACACACACACACACACGCGCGCACGCACACACACACACACACACACACTTAAAGTAAACCATATTTAAAGAAAGCTATGATAATGTCCCATCAAATTAATAGAAGATTAATTTAAAAAAACTGTTGTACAAAAGACACAATGGAAATTCAAAAGACGAAAATTAAAACTTCAAGTGGGGGAAGTAGAGCTATGGCTCAAGTGATAGGGTGCTTATTTTAAGCAAAAACAAAATAAAACAAAACAAAAAGAACAACAACCCTCGGGAAAGGCACCCAGGCCCTGAGGTCAAGCCCAAGAACCAGAACAAAAACAAAACAAAAAAACTTGAAGACAAGTTAGTAGAGATTATACAAGCTATAAAACATAACAAAATATTAAGAAAAATGAACAGTAAGTTCTTATTCATACATAGAAGCTGGACCTAAATGGATACATACTCATGGAGACATACATATGCATACATACCCAAATATGTGTATTTATATGTACTTATGCACAGAATATTATTCTAATTATAGGACTATTTAGGAAGAAGATGGGAAAGGAATAGGGAAGAATAAGAGGGTAAATAATTTTGTAATACATTGTGTTTAACTATGTATAAAGATATACATGGATGGGTGAGAAAACAGAAAGCAAGAGAGAGGGTTATTCTGACCAAATCAATATATGCACATCTGAAATGCCATGTGAAACCCACTGGTACAATTTTTGTTTTAAACCTGGTCCTGGGGCTTGAATTCTGGGCCGGGGCGAAGTCCCTGAACTTTTGCTCAAGTCTAGTGCTCTACCACTTGAGCCACAGCATCATTTCTGGCTTTTATTGTGGTTTTCTTGGAGATAAGTCTCACAGACTTTCCTGCCCAGGCTGGCTTTGAACAATGATCCTCAAATCTCTGCTAGGATTACAGGTGTGAGCCACCAGCACCTGACACTACTGGTGCAATTTTAACACACAATAAAAATAGGAAAAATGACCAGAAACTAAAACAAGCTCTGTTGGGGGGAGTGGGTACCTGCAGGAGGGGGTTGGGCTAAATGTAGCAAGTAAATATGGACATGTACTTTATCTGCATGTATGATAATAGAACAATGAAACCTGTTGGACATTGTTTTAAGAACGGGGAAGGAGGGGAAGGGAGAGTGATAGAGTAAAGTTGATACATTTGTACAACTATCACAATAAATTCCCTTTGTACAACAAATATATGCTAATAATAAAGAAAAAGTAATAATTTCTGGAAGCTTCCCACATTTTTCAGGATTCTGCTTTTTTGTTTGTTCATGTAGTACTAGGGATTGAACCCAGGGCCTCACACATATGAAATACATGTTCTTCCACTGAGCCACACCCTCAGCTACTTCCCACATTTCATGGAAAACAAAGTATTAATCTTTAGGCTGGGGATTTAGCTCCATGGAAGGGCATTTGCTTGCCTGGCAAATGCAAGGCCCTGAGTTCAGGCCTCAGCTCCCAGGAAGGGAGAGGACTAAAAAGACCCCCTCCACACACACACACAAAAGGCAAAATAATATTAATCCCTGTATCCTAGAAAATCAAATGAAATAAATCCACATCCATGCATCATACAGGATTCAGGCTTGAACTCTGGGCCTCATGCTTCCACTCTGGTTTTTTGCTCACGTATGATACTCTAGTACTTGATCCATGCCTCTAGCCCACAAGAAACGTTTTTAAAAACAAAATGGCAAACGTTACTCATTGTATACAAAAGAGACCTCTACAAGATTAACAACTAATTATCAGAAACAATGTGGCCCAGGCTGATTTCAAATTCATGGTATTTTTTTCTACCTTAGCCTCTCACATACTGAGATTTAGGCAAGCACCAGCATTTGTGACTGAGCATCTGGACCATCAAAATGGACACCTTTCTAGAAAGGCAAAAAGAACTGAAACAAGACAGAGGGCTGAGGATGTAGCTGAATGATAGAATACTTCCCTAGCACAATGAAGCCCTGGGCTTAATTGGTCCCTAATGAGGGATGCAAAAATCCTCAACAAAATAACAGCAAACTGAAACAAAGAATACATAAAAAGAATTATTCAGCTAGGCATCGGTGGCTCACACCTATAATCCTAGCTATGCAGGAGGCTGAGATCTGAGGATCACAGTTCGAATCCAGCCCAGGCAGGAAAGTCCGTGAGACTCCTATCTCCAATTAATCACAGAAAAAGCTGGAAGTGACACTGAGGCTCAAAGTGGTAGCCTTGAGCAAAAAGGAACTCAGGAACAGCATCCAAGCCCAGAGCTGGAACCCCAGGCAGCCACACACGCAAAAAAAAAAATTATTCACCATATCCCAGTAGGGTTTACTTCAGTAATGGTTCAAGATATGAAAATCAATTAATATAATATACAGATCAAGGAAAAGCTTTTTATAAGGCCACAGTAGTCAATACTGAATGATTCTGGTATAAGGCAGACATAGAGATCAATGTATTATAATTGCTAATCCATAAATAAACTTCACATTATAGTGAACTGATTTTCAACAGAGTACGCCAAGACAATTCAATGGAGGAAAATATAGTCTTTTCAATCAATGCTGCTGAACAACTGACACATGCCAAAGAATGAAATAGGTCCACGTCTTTTCCTTATGCCTTACAAAGAAATTAACTCATAATGGAAAACTTAAATGTAAGAGCCAAAACTAAGATTCTTATTAGAAAACATATGAAGAAATCTTCCTGGTCTAGAATTACCCAATGGTTTCTTAGCTACAATACCAAAAACCAAAACAAACATATGAAAGAATAAACTATATTTTTTAATCAAAATTAAAATATTTTGGGGCTGGGAAGGTGGCTCAGTGGTAGAGCGCTTGCCTTGCATGCCTGAGGCCCTGGGTTCGATTCCTCAGCACCACATAAGCAAAAAGAAAAAAGCCGGAAGTGGCGCTGTGGCTCAAGTGGTAGAGTGCTAGCCTTGAGCTGAAGAGCTGAGGGACGGCGCCCAGGCCCAGAGTTCAGGCTCCACGACCGGACCCCAAAAAAAAAAAAAAATTAAAATATTTTTCCTTCAAAGGAAAATAAATGATGAGTAGAAATGGGAAGGAGGGACTGGAAGTAAGGAGGACATTGTATGAAAGGAAATGTACTCATTATCTCACTCATGTAATTGTAATCCTCCTGTACATATCACCTTTAAAATAACAATAAATAAAAATTTTAAAAAAAGAAATGTGGTAAAATGCACATATAAAATTTACCTCTTACTCACTTTTTTCCTTTGACCATACGAATTAAGCAATAAGCACCATGCTCCTACCACTGGGCAGCCACTTCATGACTGTGATCTTGACCACTGAAAGTAAAAAATATCATTAAAGTCATACGGTGTTTGTCTTTCTGTGGTTGGCCTGTTTTACTTAGCATGGTCTGCTCAAGGTTCACCCACATTGTAGCATTTTGAGGCTGGGTAAAATTCCATTGCTTATATATACACACTACATTTTCCTTATATATTAGTCTGCTGACAGATATTTGAGTCATTCCTGTTTTGTCTATTTAAAGTCATGATACTGTGAACATGGGTGCATACATGCCTTTGCTTTTTCTTTTTTGCCAGTTCTGGGGCTGAACTCAGGGCCTGGACACTGTCCATGAGCTTCTTTTGCTCAAGGCTAGCACTCTATCACTTGAGTCACAGCACTACTTCGGGCTTTTCCTGTTTATGTGGTACTGAAGAATCAAACTCAAGGCATACATGCATGCATGCATGCATGCACTCTACCACCAAGCCACATTCCCAGCCCGTCCTTTCTTCTCCCCTTGGTTGTAACTGTGTTTGAACCCAGGACCTAGGCTTTTCTTGATCATGGCTAGGGCTCTACAACTTGAGCCAGCCTCCCACTCAACTTTTTGCTGGTTATTTTGAAGATGGAGTCTTGAGGATTTTTCTATTCAGGCTGGCTTCAAATCACCAACCTCAGATCTTAGTTTCCTGAGTAGCTAGGATTGCAAGCATGAGCCACTGGAACCTAGCCAATATGTCTCTTTGAGATCCCAATTTCAGTTCTTTTGGGTATATGCCCAGAAGTGAATTTTTGAATTATATGAAAATCTTATTTTTGCTTTTTGAGGAGCTACCATACAGTTTTCCACATCAGCTATAGCATTTTACATTCTCAGCCACCACTGCCAAGTGTTCAGATCTCTCTACACCTACAACACTTCTTTTTATTTTCTGTTTTGATGACATCATTCTTAAATATTACATTTTATGCTCATTCTAAATCTATATCTATGCTCATCTTGGAGCCTAGGCTCCAAGAAGTAAGAAAAATTCATAACTAGTATGTGGCCACTATAAAGGTCAAACTTTTTCTTCCTGACATTGAAACATATTTACTTACTTAACCTTACATATGAGTTGGGGAATTTCTCTATCTGCAAGTATATGTGAATTTTGTATCTATTCCAGCATCTGAAATATCTCACAGGAATGATAAGATAAACAAACATTACAGATTTTATTCTTAAAGACATGAAGTGAAAGACATCCCACAGAAAGGAAATATTTGCAAACCATTTATCTCATAAAGTATTCATCTCTAGACTACATAGACCTCCTACAACTTAATAATAATAAAAAAAAAAACATTTTAATGTGTAAAAGACCTGAATAAACATTTCTCCAAAGATTTACAAATATCAAAAAAGCACATGAAAAGATAAACACCATCATTTAGTCATCAGGGAAATGCTAATCAAAACTACAATCAGAGACCACTTCTTACTCACTAAGATAGCTAGAATAAAAAATACAAATACAATAATTGTTGGCAAGCATGTGGAGAAATCAGCAATCTTTCACACTAGTGGTGAGACTATAAACTGGTACAGCTGCTTTAAAAGCAGCCTGGCAACTTCTGGAAATGTGAAGTATTTGGCCCAGCAATTCTACTCCTAGCTATAAATCCCAAAACAAATGAAAATACATATCCACAAAGAAAAATTCACAGAAATGATCCAGGTAGCATTATTTACAATAGCTAAAAGGTAAAAAACTATCAAAATATTTCATCAGATGGTAGGTAGTATGTAAATACTGACCCCAGCTACAAGCTAGATGAACCTGGAGGAGATCATGCTAAGTCAAACAAACCTATCAGAAAAGTCTACATGCTTTATATTCCATTTGTCTAAAATGTCTAGAATCAGTCCTATGGCTTAAAGCCAGGCCCGACAGGAAAGTCCATGAGACTCTTATCACCAATGAATAGCCAGAAGTGGCACTGTGGCTCAAGCACTAGAGCGTGAGCCCTGAGCAAAAGAAGCTCAGGGACAGTACCCAAGTCCTGAGTAAGCTCCAGAACTGGCACACAAAAAAATAAAATAAAATGTCAAAATGAGAAAATATATAGACAGAAAAAAAGATTAGTGGTATCCTTAGGCTGAGAGTATGGTCAAATTAGAGAGAGGAGATAGCTAAACTTGATGGGATATCTTTTGAAGTTACTAAATTGTCCTAAAGCTAGCTGGGCACCAGAGGCTCATACCTGTAAGCCTAGAGACACAGAAGGCTGATTTGGAGAATTGTGGTTTGAGGTCAGCTGAGCAGAAAAGTCTGTGAGATTCTGTCTCCAATTAACCATGTGGCAGACACTCAAAATGAATTGTTTTCTCCCAAATCCATAGACAAGTAGGAAAAAAAACAATAATTAGTGGTAACAGGAATTTGAATAGCATAATTATAAACGTTAATAGCTATATAGAAACCTTAACACTAAATAGGTATTCAATGTATTCTTTTCATACAAATATGAAAGAATCAAAAAATAACCAAGAGGTCAGATGCTAGCGGCTCATGGTTGTAACCCTAGCTACTCAGGAGGCTGAGATCTGAGGATCATGGTTCAAAGAAAAGTCCATGAGACACTTTAATCTCCAATTAATCAGGAAAAAAACGGAAGTGGAGTTATAGTTCAAGTGCTAAAGTGCTAGCTTTAACAATAACAGCCAATCTTTATTCCAGGATATCGTTTCTGAACAAAGCTTTCTCCAAAGCAAGGAGACAAGAGTCAGACTCCATCCTAAGGAAGTATAAACAAGATAGGATTGTTTGTCTTTCTGTCAGGGCAGATGTATTAGTTTGGTAGAGCTGCTATAGCAAATCAACACAGGCTGGATGGTTTCAATCACAGAAATATACTTTTTCATTGCAATAATGAGATGCACAAGACGCTATGTTTAAAAACGAACTTTACAATTTAGGCGGGGGGGGGGGTGGTAGTTGGGGAGGTGGGAAGGAAGGGATGGTAGGAAAAACAAAGGAGGAAACAACAATGCTTGAAAGGAAATGTACTCATTATCTTGCTCATGTAACTGTAACCCCTCTGTACAGTATTTTCACAATAAAAAACTTATTTAAAAAACATAAATAACAATAAATAAATAAATAACAGCCAAAATAACCTCTGGAACAGTGCCGAGGCCCTGAGTTCAAGCCCCAGGACTGGCACAAAATTGATTAATATAATATTAAGTAAATAAGAATTAGACCACAAAATGTATGTGTGTGTGTGTGAGAGAGAGAGACAGAGAGGGTGGGGTGAGCACGCTCGAGCACAGCACACAGGGTGCTGCAAAGTTGCATATTTAACTACTGAACTATTAGTTGGAGATGGGGCTACAGAGAATTAAATTTGTGGAAGACAAAAATCTGCACTTTTTCTTCTATATCTTTATACATTTTCTACACTATTTTTTTTTTCTGGGTGCTGGTCCAGGGCCTTGAACTTAGGGCCTGAGCACTGTCTCTGGGCTTATATGCCCAGCAAGCATTCTACCCCTTGAGCCACAGCTTTATTTATTTTTGGCTTTTTGAGTAGTAAATTGGAGATAAGAGTCTCATAGTGCCTTTTTCTGCCACTGGCGCCCAGTATACATTGATTTTTTTTTTTAGAAGCATGTTTCCATTTGTAATTACATGACTATGAACAAAAAAAAATGGGTGCATGTGTGTGTGTGTGTATATATATATATATATATATATATATATACATAACCACTAAGAAATCCAAAAAGAATACAAAGGAATTATACAGTTGACAGCACGTTTTGAGATTAGAAAAGACTCTTTTTCTTCTTTTCCCTTTGCCCAGTGTGTCAATAATAAACAAGTATTACTGCAAAAGTTCCAATGAGTTCTAAGCCTGGCGCTGGTGGCTCATGCCTGTAATCCTAGCTACTTAGTATACTGAGATCTGAGGATCGCAGTTCAAAGCCAGCCTGGGCTGGAAAGCCCATGAGACTCTCATCTCCAATTAACCACCAGAAAACTGGAAGTTTTCAAAGTGGTAGAGAACTAACTAGCCTTGAGTGAAAAAGCTCAGGGACAGCACCCAGGCCCTGAGTTCAAGCCCCAAAACCACTACCACCACCACCACCACCACCAACAACAACAACAACAAAATGAAGGCCAATGAGTACTGGATCACAAACTTAAGATATGTTAATCATGTGGGGCTGGGAAGGTGGCTCAGTGGTAGAGCGCTTGCCTTGCATGCCTGAGGCCCTGGGTTCGATTCCTCAGTACCACATAAGCAAAAAGAAAAAAGCCGGAAGTGGCACTGTGACTCAAGTGGTAGAGTGCTAGCCTTGACCTGAGGGACAGCGCCCAGGCCCAGAGTTCAGGCCCCACGATCGGACCAAAAAAAAAAAAGATATGTTAATCATTTCATTCAGTACAAGAGCAAATTAATGGGCAATCATTTCCCCACTGCTTGTCAAACCATTCTAGTCACTGAGGAAAACAGAAAATGTTATAAATGTATTTATGAAGAAATACTCTGCATTTAAATGCAGAAAGTAACAAAACTTTACTGGAGAGAATAAAGTATGGAAAGGAATATACTGTATTTTTGGATGTAACTTCTTCTCAAATTAATATATGGACTTCAAACAACATAAATCTAAAGAAATCCTAAATGGGAGAGGTACTGACAGTTATTCAAATATGATCTGGAAGGATAAATATAAAAATAATCAGAGAGACAAAGGGTAAACAAACACAGTGTTCATACTCACTAGAAAATGAACTATACAACTTTTGGGGACAGGAGGGAAAAACTAGAAAGAGAATAAGGGAAGGGGTGACATTGTCCAAAAAGAAATGTACTCTTTACCTGACTTATATAACTGTAGCCCCTCTGTACATCACCTTTATAATAACTATTAAAAAGTCCCTTAGCAAAAAAAAAAAATCAAACACAATAGTTCATATTTGTAATCCTAGGTAACTCGGAGGCAGAGAGCAGGAAGATCATGGATCAAGACCGCCTGAGCTAAAAGTACTAGTTCATTTCACCTTATAAAAGCCTGGCATTGGTAGTGTGTGCTTGTCATCCCAGGCAAACCTAAAATCAAAATCCTATCAGAAAACTAACTACAGCCGGGCGCTGGTGGCTCACGCCTGTAATCCTAGCTACTCAGGAGGCTGAGATCTGAGGATCACGGTTCAAAGCCAGCCCCGGCAGGAGAGACCGTGAGACTCCTATCTCCAATAAACCACCAGAAAACCAGAAGTGGCGCTGTAGCTTAAGTGGTAGAGTGCTCGCCTTGAGCTGAAGAGCTGAGGGACAACGCCCAGGCCCAGAGTTCAAGCCCCATGACCGACAAAAAAAAAAAAAAGAAAGAAAAGAAAACTAACTACAAATTAAAAGGGCTGAGTGTGGCTCAAGTAGTAGAGCACCTGCCTAGCAAGTATGAGGCCCTGAGTTCAAATTCCAGTACTGCCAAAAAAGAAAATCAACCATCTATAAAAATGTTATTTTTAAATCTTTAATAATTTTAAAGGAAAAAAGCTTAGTGAGATAGAGAGGATCTGATATTGATTTCATTTCAAAACTTGGAAGCAAAGCTAGATAAAATATGTAATTTTAATCTCCAAATATCTCACCAAAATGCTAATACTGTAGAAATGGGCAAAGTATATCAGAATGTTAAAAGTGGTAGCATGTAGGTTTGCTTTTCTCCTTACAATGTTTCTGACATTTCTAATTTTATATATAGGTGTATGTATGCATATATATATGTGTGTGTATTATGTGTAGAAAAGTTATATATACATGTTTTATTCTATAATAATAAAAATGAAAAATCAGATATCCTTTAAAATACCCAATAAGAATATGAAAAATGAAGATGAAAAAATAAATTACGGGGAAAAATAACCAATAAAAACACATAAAAGTGAATTCAACCTAATAATTTTTAAAAGGCCGCTTAAAATATTTTTTTATCTCTAAAACTGGTAAAGACATTTAAAAGGGTTATTTTCCAAGGGAATATTCCAGCTTTCAAAGCAGCAGAAATCCACCCATTTGCATCTTTCTTTAAAACACAAAAGGAGGAGGAAAAAATTGTTTTTCTTTTTGTGTTGCTTTGCTGCCACCTACAGACAACTATGTGAAATGCAACTAAGAAACTGCAGCAGAATGAATAAATGGTTTCTTAATAACTAACTACAGAAGATAGAGATTACATATAAGTTTTAGACTTATATCAGAGATAGAGATTACAAGAGTGTAATTCTTAGACTTAAAATTAACAAATGTTTATTTTTCCAATTACTGCATGGAGGGATTCAGATGAATAGAGATAGGTGCATCAAATCCAAGGAAAGAATAATCTCTTAGGTCATTAAACAAGCTTTGATGCTTTTTTTCTTGTTATAAAGGAGTTACAATTTTGTCAGTCAAGTTGTGAGTACAATGCTTCTTGACAATGTTAAGTCTTCCCCTACCCACACGTTATGTAGTTCATTTTTTACATAGTGTATATTGAATACAACAACTACATTTGCTCACCATTCCTCCCTTCATTCCTGTACCCCCTTTTGACCCTCCCAAAACACATGTTTCTGTTTCCTGGTATTCTTTTTGATAAATATACTTTAGTTGAGGGGCTGGGAAGATGGCTCAGTGGTAGAGTGCTTGCCTTGCATGCCTGAGGCCCTGGGTTCGATTCCTCAGCACCACATAAGCAAAAAGAAAAAAAAAAGCCGGAAGTGGCGCTGTGGCTCAAGGGGTAGAGCGCTAGCCTTGAGCTGAAGAGCTGAGGGACAACGCCCAGGCCGAGTTTAGGCCCCACGACCAGACCCCCCCAAACAAATAAATAAATAAGAATAGTTTCGGGCTGGGAAGGTGGCTCAGTGGTAGAGTACTTGCCTTGCATGCTCAAGGCCCTGGGTTCGATTCCTCAGCACCACATAAGAAAAAAGCCCGAAGTGGCGCTGTGGCTCAAGGGGTAGAGCGCTAGCCTTGAGCTGAAGAGCTGAGGGACAACGCCCAGGCCGAGTTTAGGCCCCACGACCAGACCCCCCCAAACAAATAAATAAATAAGAATAGTTTCGGGCTGGGAAGGTGGCTCAGTGGTAGAGTACTTGCCTTGCATGCTCAAGGCCCTGGGTTCGATTCCTCAGCACCACATAAGAAAAAAGCCGGAAGTGGCGCTGTGGCTCAAGTGGTAGAGCTCTAGCCTTGAGCTGAAGAGCTGAGGGACAGCGCCCAGGCCCAGAGTTCAGGCCCCACAACCGGACCCCAAAAAAAAAAAATATATATATATATATACTTTAGTTGTTCAGAGAATTCCTTCCCTAAGTATACCCTCCTTTAGTTAATCTGTTTATATGTAAACACATTAAGCTCTATATATGTTATTATGCATAGTTGTATTTTAGATATAGCTTCCACATGAGAGAAAACAAGTCTCTCTGAGCCTGGCTTACTTCATTTGACACAATTTGTTCTAGGTCCAACCATCCAATTCCCTGCAAATGGCATAACATTATTCTTTCTAATAGATGAGTAAAATTCAGTTATGTATATGTACTACATTTGCTTGAACTACTGTTGATCTGTTGTAGGGCATTAAACTTTAACTTAAAATATTATCTCACCATAATGAAATCAAACTAGAAAAGTACAGGGAGACAAGAAATTCTATCAACACTTGAAATAACAGGCAACATACCTACATCAATGGATCAAATTCGAAATGTAAAAGGTAATAAAAAATCATTAGAACAGAATGAAAAGTGCAACATATCAAGAATTTGTGGATGCAGCTAAAAACGCTGAGAGGGAAATTTATAGCACAAAACATTTATAGATGAAAAGAAGAAAGATCTCAAATCCATAATCTAAGTTTCTAACTCAAAATAATCACATGTTCTTGCTCATTTTGTGAAACATAGAC